CAGTTTTATGTGGCATATCTGTCGATGGAAATAGTCGCATCTACATGTCCCATCATGTCAGCATGACTTTCACAAAAATTCACATCATGTCAGTAGGATTTGTCACATAGTCACATCTTGTCAGTAGGGCATGTCACATGTCAGCAGGACATGTCACATCATGTCATCAGGACATGTCACATAATGTCATCAGAACATGAAACATAATACCAGTTCCTATTATGTCATAAAACATGTACGGACCGAGCTAAGTTTCCTGAAATTCTAGAACGACCTTGTGTCTACATGGGTACACACACGTATACACACACACACATACATACACACATCACTGAGTGGCAAATGCACCTTGCATCTACATGCATACACACACACACACACACATACAGACACACACATCAGTACATCACTGAGTGACGAGTGCACCTTGTGTCAACATGCATACACACACACACACACAGATACACAAACACACACCACTAAGTGACGAGCCAGGACCTCATTAAAAAAACTAATCTCCAACATTTACATTGAAACTATCCCCCGCATAGCTGTAGGGACCAATCGAAGGTAAAACAAAGAAAACCTGCACATTTTAACGGGAAATCCCACACCTCCCACCCCCTCCCTACCCGACATCAAAAAACTTCGACCTCTGTTATACAAAGACGAATGACGTCATTAAATTTCAATGTCTTGTCACGGTGACGGTTTTATTTGAAACCTCGGTATATTTTTTTAATCTAGTATCGTCATCTGAGTGGATTATCTCCCTGGAACGTGTTCTGTTATCTCCCTTAGCCCGAGGCGCCAAGCTAGCGCCCGATAGACTCATTGATCTATTTATAACCCCACCCATATCTTCATCCACTGGATTAGTTTTTATGATCCACCCGGTCCGTATCACGAATCTTTCAATTAGACCATGGGGTATCTGTCATCGCATCTCATCCACCAGTCTTATCCAGTTTGACGTAAACAAATTCTTGACAAATACTTGAGGATATGAACATTTTTTTCCCCAAATGTCCCAGAATAAACTTTGTTCTTCTATTTGAAACTAACTTGTGATTTCTATGGAGTTATTCACGTGAAGTATGGTTTAATTGTATCCTGAAATAATGTTATCTATAAAAAAATATACGTGAAATTATAACAAAATTATATGTTATGTTATAACGACTTTCTCAGGTGCTGTTAAAACCGGAACTTAGATATAGGAGACTTTAATCCATTGCTATAAAAAATTTGTATTCATCCATTAAAAGGCTTTTCTTCTGATAATAGGCCTACAATTTCTTAACCTTCTACAGCGCATGATAGTCTAGAGGTCATTAGATGGTTGGATAAATGTACATACCAAATACCGAGAACTAACGTTAGTTAACAGACTTGATGAAGGATTGTATCTACATTATCTAGAGCTGTTTTAAACAAATGCACACATACCCGTTAGGCTATTGTTGGACATTTGTACAAATGTTATGTAATTCCTCTAAGTTCAAACAACTACTTCCGGGTTACTAGTACTTGTGAAGTTGTTGGAAGTACACTAAGAAAGTTGTTATAAGTACCGTGGTACTAGTGGGATGAGGTTTTAGAGATCCGTTTAGGCACATTTTAAGAAACGTTCTAGCATTTAGATCCGTTTTCAATAGTACTGTCAGATTTTAAAAAAGGATACTTGGAATTATAAGATTTAGAAACTTTCAACTATTTAAAGATTAGAAACTTTTACAATTATTAAAAATTTAAATATTTAAAATAAAAAAGAAGGAATAGATTAATGGCGATTTTTTCTTCTTATTCCTTTACCCCCCCCCCCCCCCCCAACCCCCTGGGGAGCAAAGGGCAGCAGTCACACCTCTCCACCGGACTCTGTTTTTGGCAGCTCCTATTTACATACGCCCATGTAAGCCTGGCAGCTCTTATTTCTGCTACTTTAGTAAACTAAACGGTTAATGTCCGCTTACAGAGTTATGTGATTACAATATAAACAAAAATAAAACTTGAGCCAAAAAGTAATAAAACAAACCAAATAACTGACATATTTTAGCTCTTAGAAATGAGTCGAATATTAAAATTTGTCCCCTCAAAAACAAGACAGCACAAATGTGATTTGTAGCCCCGTTTATTACTGGTTCTATTGAAATTAGCTTGTCAAAAGTGAATACGAGGCTCGTCAAGAATTTAAGAAATTACCATAAACACGGTTGAAAACGTGACGTAGTGTACATATTTTATGTTCCACGTGACGTAGTGTACATACTTTATGTTCCTGCATATGAAAGGATTGACGTCTTTATCCAGCACCAGTGCCAAAAACTCCGATAAATCGGTGACGTGGTCAGCAGTTTTATTTCCATTCACCTACACAATTTGTATCATTCCTCGACTTATCTTGTACAACTGGGATAGGCCATACCTATGTGTTTATTTTTTTAACCCGCAAAGATAACTCTTGACTTACTGGACTTAGTCCCCTTTACTCCTTGTAGAGACTAGAGCCTAAACCATTATCTCCCATTTTGTGATGCCAATGATGTGTACAGAAAGTTTGCTGATATTGTGACGCAACAAACTACCTCCCCCACCCCACCCTTTGACTCCACATGGACAGTCACATACACAGACTTATGTGTAAACAAACACTGTTTGAATAACTTAGCTTCACATATACACTGTAACAGTCAAGCCAGATTAGCCAGTAATATACTCCGTTAATATAACTGTTAAGCTAGATCAGCTAGCAACATATTTAGTTAATATAATATTCGAACTAAAATGTGTTAATATAACTATCAAGCTAGATTAATCTGTAATGAATTAGTTAATCATCCCCCAACATTATTTTTACAGACACAATAGCGTGATATTGTAAGTATCAGAAAAGGCAAGTCGTAGTGTTACCACTAGTTTTTTTGGTTTAACTATTTCATTTTCCTTTTTAAGTACACATTGGCTTCATGTACTGATGAAGACATTGTACCGAAACGTTTTTTTAATAACACAATATGAGAGATATCATTAACGGAAATAAAACGTTTTTATTCACACTATCTTAGAGATGGTATGGACGGATACTAAAACATATCGCCCGTGAGCCCAAATTGGGCTTTCAAAAAATAATTTAGCAGCCAACAGGAAGTAACTATGACATCCATTTCTCTTATTGTAAGACCGTATAGCTTTAGACGTGAGACCAGTGGCGTAGCGAGGTCGGGTGTCACCCGGTGCGGCACTTAATGGTGTCACCCCCCCCCCCCCCAGAGGCGTTGCGACCCTTCCCGGGGACAAACTTTCATGTTTTTGTTTTGCACCCCCCCCCCCCCCCTCAAACTTTCGATTTGCAACCCCCGGCAAGTTTTTGATTTGCACCCCCTCCTCAAACTTTCGATTTGCCCCCCCCCCCTCAAGTTTTTGATTTGCACCCCCCCCCTCAAACTTTCGATTTGCACCCCCCCCTCAAGTTTTTCTCTATATCTTTTGCTATTTTTTGCCTTAGTGTCACCCCCCTAAATGGTGTCACCCGGTGCGGTCCGCACCCCCCGCCCCCCCCCCCTCGCTACGCCCCTGCGTGAGACCATTGGGTATTATCGTGATTCATGTTAGACTTCGGTCTCTTCATGAGCTGTTGGAGACTCTGGTCCTTACACCCCATGAATCGTGTGCGACTTACCCCACCCCCACCCCTCGCCATACAGAAAAGAGTAGCCCCCCCTTTCCCCCCCCCCCCCTCCCCCCCATTGAGAAAAGAGTAGCGTTCCGTACTCCGTGTAGGGTAGAAAAACATCTGTTTCCAAGATGGCTGGATCGGATAACACCGTTCTGTGTCTCGCGCCAGGTTAATGTTTATAAGAAACTATGTAAAAAATATTTCTCATTTATTTTAGATGTGAAGCGGGATGGTGGGGGGGGGGGGTGGGGGGGGCCTTTGAGGGGGGGGGGCTATAATGTGTCGTGTTTAACACCCCTATAGAGTTACCCAGGGGACATAATTTCATGCTTGTCCGGGGTCTATTTGTCTCCCCGTGGGTCCCCGTGTACCTGATAACTCTGACCAGAGCGGGCTGAGCATACAATCACGTGATCACCGTGGCCAAGGGAAGACGACCCCGCCTGGACCAGAATCGTACCCGCGATCTCCCAAACGACCAGATTTTATTGCCAGTCTTCAAAGACAAACATGACCCAGATAGCTTTAGGGTCCTAATTCAAAAGAAATGTTACAAGACATTAAACCATACACTATACTTTAAAAAAGTTCTCAACTGCCGTGTGAATACATAAGCGAAGTAAAATCACGACTTTTCGGTGTTTAGACGAGCCGCTATAAAATCTTTTAGAAGTAAGAATTTCAATAAATTAGAAAATTTTACGATTTGCTAAGTTCAATAAGACATTTTTTAATGTTTAACTCGAGTCCTTCATGTAAATTATTGAAATAGTAGAATTTTAAACATAAAAATTATTTTGTCTATAAAGTTCAATAACTCCATTTTTAATGTTAACTTATGTCCTTTACGTCAATTATTAAAATAGAATTTAAAACATAAATATTATTTTGTCTATAATAATTCTTATTTTTAGAAAACATAACAAGTGCGTCTGTGTCGGAAACTTAAATAAACGCCCCTTTAAGCAGTTAGCGTTACTTCCCCTGAATAAAATAGCGTTGATATTTTCTGCACGTGTTTCTCTGTGTTTAACATGCTGTTCCGGTTTTCCGGCTACGAACGGCAATTGATCATTCTACATCTGCGCTGCACATGTGTTGACGCAGCGACCGCGGCGCCCAATTTTATGCTAATTAGTCTAATTGTGAATATTTGCAATGCTCGTTTGGGTGAATAAATTAGTCCACTTGCTAAAGTTTTTCGAGATTTTTCCAGACATTTTTTGTCAAAACGTACTTATCTCCCTTAAGTGATGACGTCAATTTGACGTCGCGGATCTTCGTTTCTCTCCCCCCTCCTCCCCCTTATACAAGCTTTCCAAAAATGACAAAAATAGTAAATATAATCTAGATTAAAAAAAATTCATAAAAAACGTTTTAATAACAAGCTTTTATGTAATGATGCACTAAAAAGTAGAAAATAAATTATAGACTACTATTTAAATAACTATAAAGAAAAGCGTGGGTCACTTTAGTATCTATTGGATATCTTTACTAATGTTAAGGAAGACACCCACGCTTTTCTTTATAGTTATTTAAATAGTAGTCTATAATTTATTTTCTACTTTTTAGTGCATCATTACATAAAAGCTTGTTATTAAAACGTTTTTTATGAATTTTTTTTCAGTACTTTACATGTTTTATTTACAATAGAGTTACATGACTAAAAACCATTGCGCGCCTACTGAACATCACGTTCAGTAGGCGCGCAATGGTTTTTGAACGCAGCCATTACGTGATGGCGCAGCTATTGAAGGTGATGACGCGTGTGGTGTGGTTGGCTAGACATGCCTACTAATTCGGTCCAAATTTTTATTAATTCATAAAAAATTAATTAGGCATCCAATTAAGTCAAATTTAGTTTCAGATTGCATTGTCTTCATGTCTTGACCCACGTGCCAACTGTGAATCGTATCGGTCAAGTAGAACTGTCCGAATTTTCACTCCTGCGTTTCCGTCTAGACAGACTGACGACAGAGGAAGTGAGTTAAATAAAAGCTTGTAAAAAAAAAAGATATGTATGTTGCGTGAGTGTTGGGGTGTTACAGAGGACTTAGAGGGGATGGGGGGGGGGGGGGGGGGGAGTTCAAAGTCCATATCCAGGGTGATGAATAGAAATTGAAACGTTTTTCTTAACTCAGCTTCGCGTTTGTTTGTTTGGATGTTTGTTGTTAAAATTGACATCGAAAATTAGCCCACTTCTGATTGCTCTAGAGACCTGAAATTTGGCATGCATGCTACTTTCGCCTAACAATTTCAGATGCAATCATAAAAACTAGCAATTAGTGACCGTAATTAGCTTAATTTAATTACGCCCCAAGGACCATAAAATTGAGGACATGATTTCTAAAGATACCGACAAGACTGCAGTCCTATTGACACAGTTACTTCGGCCCCAATCGATGTGAGCGCGCTGGCCGTGATCGTATAGTGGTTAGTACTTCGCGTTGTGGCCGCGACAACCCAGGTTCGAATCCTGGTCGCTCAAGATTTTTAGTCCGTGTATTTATAAACACTTTTTTAAAAACCACGTTTTTCATGTGTAGCAACGGACTAAAAAGGAGAAAATAAAATACTTAAAAAAAAACTTTTTAAAAAACCACGTTTTTCTTGTGGACTAAAAAGTAGAAAATAACTATTTACATACATTTGATGACAAAAAACGTGGGTCGGGCAGATGGGTCGGGAAATTTGATGGTGAACGTACCCACGTTTTTTGTCATCAAATGTATGTAAATAGTTATTTTCTACTTTTTAGTCCACAAGAAAAACGTGGTTTTTTAAAAAGTTTTTTTTTAAGTATTTTATTTTTTTTCTGGTTTCGAAAACGTGAGTGAATGAATACTAACGGAGTGCTCATGATCTAAACACAAAAGTTTAAGCAAACAAAAAAAAAAAACCCACCAGCACTAAAACCACCTCACCGGTCACACGTTATTGACAAGTTTTTAAAGGGGGGGGGGGGGGGTTGTCTAGGTGGAAGAGTGGTAGGTAGAGACCACGTGACAGCCTCGTGGCGCCTAGTCGCGAGACTTGTCCGAGGCTAGGTTTACTTCTTGTGTTGTGGAGGCGGTTAGGTTTAGGTTTAACCACACATCTACGTCAGACAGGGGTACACCAAGGTTTGTTTGACCCCCCCCCCCCCCCACCCTAGCTTACATGTTTCTACTGAAGATAAGTCGACCTGACCTCACCTCTATCTAAAACTAAAGTTGTGTTAGCCAACTCCCACTTTTCTATACTTTGACTTAAAGATTGGGTACTGCTCGTCGTCCTGTAGGTGTACTCTAGACGGACTCGACTGACCCCTGGGGATGGTATGTTTGTACTCAAGTCGGGGTCGTTTGACCCTGTGGGCTTTATGTTAATAGTTCGAGCCCCAAGCTTATATGTATGCTGTAGAAAGTTTGGCTGAACCCCGTGGTTTGTGAACCTCTGATTGACTGAACCCTGTAGTTGACTGAGTCCCATTGGTTGGCTGAACCCCGTAGTTCGTAAGCCCCGCGGTTGACTGAACCCCTTATTAGTCTGAATCTCTTGGTTGGCTGAACCCCGAGGTTGGCTGAAGGAGTTCACGAAGCTTCGTCCAGCCACTTCGTGTTTGGGATCCGAACCCGCGCCTCATGTCCGCAAGGAAGAAACACCATGTCACCACGTTTATGTTTTAGGCCGTAAATAAACTTTATAATTCTCTAATGTTTACCCCATCCCTTCCCCCGCCCTCTCTCTCACCAACAGAGCACCAAAAAGAAGAAGTACCGATTCACCTACATTCTCGATGAGATTCGAACCAGCGACGACAGGTCTTACAAGACGAACCTTCTCGAGTTCATCAACTGCCTGATACTCTACTCGGACCAGCCGGAACAACGGGTCCGGATACGGAACGAACTTTACGGTAAATATTTTTTTTAAACGTCGTCACAATTACAACTTTTTTTTTTATGACTCGGTTGTTGTTTATAGTACTCTGGTTGCCATGTTTGGTTTAGGTGGATCAGTAAAAAGACATCATAATCATTACATCCCTCATTAGCTTACACACCTTTATGGTGTGATTATATAACGTGACTAAGATGCTCTTTTACATCTTCAAATAATTCAGAATCTCATTACTGTTATAACACCATCACCATTCCTATAACACTAGCGACATTCATATAACACTACTGACATTAATATAACACTACCACCGCTGATATATACATATATATATATATATATATATATATATATATATATATATATATATATATATATATATATATATATATATATAAAACTAGCTCAACCATGTAACGCTGAAACTCTATATCAATATGCACCGATGTAAAACAAAAAAATGGAATAAAAATGCTCCAAAAACCCATGCTTAATTCTTAAAAGGAAATTATTTTCCAATTTAAAAAAAAAAAGTGCAATAAAAAAAGTTTTCATTGATCTTTGGCGGGATCAAAGTTTGCAGAAAGTGACGTCACACATCGTCGAACCTTCACCGCCACTTTCGTCACAAATCGTCACGGAATCGTCACGGAATCGTCACGGAATCTGTTTACCAGTTTTTAGACTTCTTTACCAAACACTCGAAAGCCTTAGAATTTTCAACCAGTCGCAGCAAGAGAAAGTCCTATGTACCGTTAAGCCCATCTGGTGTTAGGTGATCTATTTATAGCAACAGTTTCCGGACTCGAAATTTAATCTGCCGTCACTTGAGTCGACGGTTGAGATTGTTTTTGTCACAAAGTTAATCTCGTTAATCCTTGAGTGTCTACCCCTTGCACTTATCACGCTAATCCTCATTGCCGGTGTTGTTGTGTGGGGTGGAACACTTCATGGGGCGGTGAGTTGACCAGCCTAGCACCCGCACGCCCCACCCTTAGATAAAAAAAAAATCCCGGCAATCTTATCGGCGCTGAGTGAAATGTTTACAATAAGGCGGATGTGATTGGACGATGACGCGTAACATTCAGAGGCGTAGCTAGGGGAGGGCGGGGAGGGCGGCCGCCCCGGGCGCCGACCCTAGGGGGGCGCCAAAAGGGGTAGAAAAAAATTAAAAGCTCATTTTTAGCTGCAGCTATGAATTATAAACAGTCAAAGTAAAGAAATTTAACGGCTGAGAGCCTTTGCATACTGATTTAACTGTTTTCTACCTTGATTGTGTAACTGTAAAACGTATATCTTTAAGAAACAGTGACCGGAAAATCCGCTTTCCTTGATAAGGAGGGGGGGGGGGAGGGGGGCGCTTTTTCGAAGACTAAAATCGGAAAAATTCACACCGGATTAAGGAATAAATAACCAATATCACTCAGAAAAGATACCCATTGTACTAAACGTATTTTACGATTTTGTAACATCAAAAAAAGAGTTAGTGACGTTTAAAATCCGCTCTACCTATTTGTCCAAGATAGTGAGGCCCTTTTTCACCAACAAAAATCGCAGGATTTGAACTGGATCGGCTGCTAGATAACTCTTTTAACATTAGAAAAGAAATCAATTGTATTAACACTTAATGTACGATTTCACTACCCAGTTTTGCTAAGTAATAATGCGACTAGTTCTTTGTACGATTCTTACGATTTTCTCAACTTGATCGTGAGAGATCAGATAATTTTACTTGATTGCATTACATCTTGCCTGGATCACTGCATTAAAGAGAACTGAATATCACGGATTCTTGTATAGCTATCCGATCAGTAAAATAGCAGACTGTCGGAGCGGGTGGATGGGAAGCGACACTCTTTGCCAAAATTTTAAGAGAGAAGAAAATGAGTAAATTGTACTGATTATTACTTTGTTCAACCTAACTTATAATTCAAAATTGTAATATAGGCCTACTATTATCGAAATTGTTCTAAAGATACAATCAAAAGTAGACCAACTAAGGCTTGCACCTTCTACAAAATACACTCTAAAGCAGTGGTTCTTACTTTTTTGGAAAACCGAACCCAACCAGTTTCATATGCGTAATCACCGAACCCCTCTTAATAGTTGTATCGTCCACAATGACAAAATCCGATCATGATTCATATAAGTCGGCTGTGTGTCTTGACCTTCGCGGAAGCTTTGAGACTGAATTACCGAACCTCTCGGGTTCGATGGAGCCCACTGTTCTAAGCTCTTTTTATTTTCTACTTCTTTCGTTTTGGCATGTTAAGGGGAATTTAATTGGCGTCCAGTGAAATTTTAGGGAACGACAATCAGCGTAATTTTTGATTTTTTTCCAGACTGTCGCACACACATACACACACACACATATATATATATATATATATATATATATATATATATATATATATATATATATATATATATATATATGGGAGGGCGCCAAACTGAAAGTTCGCCCCGGGCGCCGGGAGGGGTCGCTACGCCTCTGGTAACATTACGTGAAGTACGTCACAGACCTTGCGTACGTCACACTTCACATCACAGCGCTAGTGAACACATTGTTTCGCTCCTGTGTTAGATTAAGTACATGTCGATTAGCCGTACCCACGTGTGTGATTATCTAACAGATAATACACAATACTATAAGCCAGGGGTTCCCAACCTTTTTTTACTCTAGAGCACATTCTAAAATATCGGTAGGGTGGCGGGCACCACCTATTTTAAATCGACAAACTCCTTCCAAACCCTTCCCGTCACTCGGGGACAAAACTTTCGATTTGCACCCCCCCCCTTCAAACTTTCGATTTGCACCCCCCCCCCCCCTCAAATTTTCGATGTGCACCCCCCCCCCTCAAACTTTCGATTTCCATCCCCTTCAACCTTTTCAATAATGTTTATGAAAAAAATTCTGTCTCTGTCGAATAGTGAGAGGCGGGCACATACGAATCGTTCGGCGGGCGCCATGGCGCCCGCGGGCACGGGGTCGGGAACCCCTGCTATAAGCCAAACCCTTAACTTAAGGCCTAAACTTAAGCCCAGTTGCAAATACAACGCTTAATCTTACCGTAACCCAAAGCTTAACTTTAAACTTAAGGATTATACTTTTTTGCGATATATACGTGGTTATGGTTTAAGGATATGAACGTAGATTTGTGTTCAAGTTACCCAAGGAGTGTATTTTTTCAAGCTACTAACTAAAAAGGAATTTGTCAAAAATATGAGAGTTACGCTCTACTGTTTTAGCCGTTTATTATAGTAGAGCTAGGGGCGTACCTGTGATATTTGCTGCTTGATGCGATCTTTTGCCGTTGGTGCCCGCGTTATCGTCGAAACAAAATATGGCAGCAAATCTGATGCCCTTTGCCGAAAACATATTTCCCCGATGCCAAGTGCAGCCCACACAAATCCGCACCCACCCGTACAAATCTTGCTACGCCCTGGCTATGGTTAAGACTAGGTCTAGTGTTGACAAAAATTAATTATAATGAGCCTAACGCCCAACCTTCTGACTCACGTGATTTAAATAAAAAAGTACGACTGTAGCCATTTTAAACACTGATTTAGAGCGCTGTTGTTATTTTAAATACAAATGTGACAAAGTGAAGCGTGAATCAATTTTTCATACTTTGTCTACAAGGATGTATCACTAACAACGGCGGTAGGAAGAGCTTAATTAACGCTCCATGACGCCGCCTAATTGTCTGTTTAAAATCAACAACCTGTTACTGAGGTGAAACTCGTTCATCATCAACAACAAGACGTCAGTTGACACTATGACGTCAGTCACAGTACACCAATAGACCCCCACCCCCTCCTGCTACGACACCCTACCCCACCCGCCCCACCATCGTAGATACTCCGCACCTAACACGGATTCACCCAGATACACAACACACAACACACCATTCAACACCGCCACAACACACCATTCAACACCGCCACAACACACCATTCAACACCGCCACAACACACCATTCAACACCGCCACAACACACCATTCAACACCGCCACAACACACCATTCAACACCGCCACAACACACCATTCAACACCGCCACAACACATCATTCAACACCACACACCATTCAACACCGCCACAACACACCATTCAACACCGCCACAACACACCATTCAACACCGCCACAACACATCATTCAACACCGCCACAACACACCATTCAACACCGCCACAACACACCATTCAACACCGCAACAACACACCATTCAACACCGCCACAACACACCATTCAACACCGCCACAACACACCATTCTACACCGCCACAACACACCATTCAACACCACAACAACTTACCATTCAACACCGCCACAACACACAATTCAACACCGCCACAACACACCATTCAACACCACCACAACACACCAATCAACACCGCCACAACACACCATTCAACACCGCAACAACACACCATTCAACACCGCCACAACACACCATTCAACATAAGCAACAACACACCATTCAACACCGCCACAACACACCATTCAACACCGCAACAACACACCATTCAACACCGCAACAACACACCATTCAACACCACCACAACACACCATTCAACACCGCCACAACACGCTTGTTTTACACGGGGATTTGTTTACGTGTGTGAAATGTATCGTAGGACTTGGATCAGAATAGAAAGTCAAACACAAAAACATGTGAAACATGAGAATCAAAGACAGGGTAGGTGGAAGTGGGGGGGGGGGGGGGGGCTGAGTCATAGGTGTTAGACTTCACAGTTAAAGCATATTCAAGATCTTAGTCTTATAGGACGGAGAGTATTGAAGAAGACATTTTAAAAGGAGCGTAGTGATGAACGGAAAAAATTCAAATAAATAAACAGTGACTGATATATTTTAAAAGTTATATTTAATGCCCACCTTGTCAAGGGTAATGTTGACTTGCTGTACATCAAGTTAACTGATCATGTTGTTCGCTCCCTGAGGCCTTGTGTGCATGTACTATGTCTTGAGAATTTTACAGACATTGTATTTTTCG